GCCATCCCGTGTAGCTTGTTGGGTCACAGAGGTGCACAAGCCATCACTTCACGTCAAGGTGCAGTCTCGTCGTGTGCAGAAAGAGACTCGCTGATGAGGGATGTCATCATGCTAGCTCGAGGGGCTGCTCCAAACTTGAGAAACTCTGGAGAAAGAACATCAGGGACCGCAGATGACGATGATTTGAAGGAAGGTAGAAGCTTAAAGATCGCATTATTGGAATTAGAAACTTCATATGGGAAGGGAAAACAAGTGTTTCGCTTGAGATCATACGTAACGTAAACTCGAAGAGGGAGACATCGTAAACCGAGACGACTATGACAAAAAATGGAGAGGACTCACTGCGTGCAAATACTGATCCATTCCGAATTGGTCATTTCCTGAAAAACAGATGGCCGTGTTTACAATGAGAAAAATACCAATGAACCGTTGATTGCATCTTTAATTACACAATTCTTAAATTACTTCAGGGATGTTCCATTATCTGAATCCAATTCCATTGACTGTGAGGAATTGATCATCAATAATCGGTACATATTGGCTCAACCAATCACATCACATGATCCATAATAAAAGGTCTCAGATATAGAACGATTTAGGTCAGTTGAAGAGGTTGTTCACATAAAATCAGTTTTTAATTTTATAAATGAGAAAATTCTGCGAATGACGACGCATCAAGGAATGAAGAGTGATGGCGAAACAAGAGCCTATTCATTTATCAAAACCATACGTGCAAAAGTGAACACGACCATAATTATGCAAAGACTGTCGTGTCAGCATCACGTTAAGCTTAGTAACTTCGAATAGTTAGGTCAGAAGGAAGATTAGAAGGAATATGCCATTTCAAAAATGATGTGAGTAGTAAAAGGCGATTTCTCGCACCTAACCAACAACGATTTCGCCGACAACGTTCGTTAGCTGGCGAACACCGTACAGAAATCTCGAAAGTAAAATACCACTCCTTAACTCATCAAGAAACACCTAGTGATCCACTTGTACCTAGATGGTGAGCGAAATAGGCCGAACTATGAAGCGATGACAGTGGAGATTCAAATAACATAAACCAGCCGGTCTGGCTGAGTATCGGATTTATGAATACACAGACCAGCGAAATTAAAGCCCGCCTCTCAGAAACGGGATATCAAAATGGTAATAATAATTTCCAAAGCATGTATTGAGTACTTCCNGAGCAAACCAAAGCTCGCAAGATAAGGCTAACTGGCAATAGTAGAGGCACTAACAATTAGGCCGTTCAAACCTGCACTGTGTGCATAAACGAATGACTGGAGCTGATGTGGAACTGAATCAGATTGGGACCCATTGGGAATATTCAGTGGGTACGCAACCGGACTCGTCTCCAGGTAGCAGACACATGATCGGTTATCGAAATAGTTAATCAACAATTAGTGGGTGAGCACTGCTTTGCTGAATAGGATGTACCGCACAATCAGTGTCAATAACCGAGGACGTGGTAGATGACAAGCAATATCTCTGCACCACAGCCATAAATTACCGCAGAAAGCTACAGAANGCGAGTCCGATTGGACGCTAAACGCAGCCATCGTAAACATACCGTTACTTTACACGCAGCACGGCCTGTTGGAGGATTTATTCACGAAACAGTGTCAAACAGCCTGTTGTCAGATAAAATAAATCCGCACTGAGGAAGAACCACTTTTGCACACTTTCGTGCAATGAACTGTAGACGAGTGGGAACGTTCAGTTTGGTGAAACTGTTGTGATAATTTTGAGTCTTGAAGCAAGAGTGGTAAGCAGCAGATAGCCCTACAGGGTCACATATGGTATCACAGCAGGTGACAGTTACTATACTTTCGAACTTTCGAGCGACTAGCTTCTACGAGAGGATAAATCGGCTTCTTGGATGTCTATAATGATGGCTGCCCACGCATAACAATCGGCAGCAAGGTTGACGCAGCGTGAGATCCAGATTTAGTTCCAGTTACGAATTCCCTATATGGATTGGAGGCCCAGTAATTCCAAATCCGCCTTGATGGCACCACTCCAGGTCTTCAGTTGACCACCGAGCCAAACCACCGAAGGCGCTGTAGCATTTTCGAAAGCTTGTTGATGTTCAAGCAGCGCCATCGAACTCCGTCATTGGAAGTCCGATCTCTTCAATTCAATTTCGAGATGAGGCGTAAGCACCAATGATCGAAAACCTTGAGCTTCTTTGTATCTTGTACTCTTAGTGGCCAGGTTTCAGGACCATGAGTGAGGATTGGGCGGATAGAAGCCTGATAAACCCGAAGCTTAGTGTTTAAGCCTATTTCGCATCGATTCCATAACGGGCTGAGGAGTTGCAGGAAGGCTCTGCTAGGTCCACCTACGGAGTTGGATTTCATCATTAGTCTGGCCGTTTCGTCTGATTGTAGA